ACACACATCTACCTGTAACAATCCTCTTCCCCAATCCACTCAGTTTATGTAAAGCATACTGCAACCCCTCCTGAAACTGATACTCCATCCCATCATCCATTTCCCTTCCCTTCCCCCTGCACAAACAGGCATGCAGGTTACCTCCCTTAAGAGCCATGAGTGCGTCAACGCACATCTGCAGCCTGAAACTGAGCCAAACTAAGCCTACTTTTTTGTTGCAAGAACACACAGTTTTGCATTGATGCACATTCCACAATTTGTGCCAAAAACAAACACGCCATACTTGCAACCGCACGAGCCGCACACACGTGTGGAGTTCTGTGCGCGGGGTGCCTCCGCGGAATCGTCCAGGTTTTTTTTTCCAATTATTATGTTTTTTTTTGGGGGGGAGGGGGTGGGGGGGAAGACGGGGGGCCGTATGACGGGAAGATGGGGATATGTTGAGGAGAGGGGGATATGGAGAGGAGGAGGACGTGGACAAGGAGGATGGCGATGATATCAAGGACGGCGATGACACCGAGGAGGAGTAGGAGGAGAGAGGGACAGAGACTGAAGGGCCCCTGTTGTAAGAGTGCCCGCCCTAAGTGAAGGCGGGCCTAACATATCACAAGAGGCCCTCGACTGTCAAATTCATATTTGGGGTCCAGGCAGTGCCACGCGTCAGTTGGTTCAGAGGAACCCAGGCCGAGCAACAAAGACATTTATACGGCCTTCTGGGCCTTTCCAAAGAATGCAGGCCCTGGGCGAGAATCGCAGCATCATACACTGACAGTTGGGAGGCGCAACCGCAAGAGGCCCAGTAGCTGCACACAAGCGCAGCATCCTGGGGCCTACCGGAAGCTTCTGGGCCCAGGCCCAGCCCAGCCAGGCTGTGTGAGCAGGCCAGCTCTTTCCATATAGGGAAGAGCTCTCCCGGACTCGTTCGGGCACTTGCTGGCTGGCGGCAGCGCTGCTGGAGCGATAGCTCGCGTGCTGGCTGCTAGCATTGGAGCAAGAGGCTGCGCACGTGCGGTCGTGTGGTGAAGCAGGGCGCTGCTAAGGGCAGCACCATAGCCCAGCCTCCATAGCTGGCTGTGGGCTTGGACATACAGTGAGGCGCAGGGGTGGTCTTCGGCTGTACACCGAAGGGAGACGTGGGAGAGAGTCAAGGGGGAGAGAAGGATGATGATGATGATGATGTCAGGGCACATACCTGGTATTGGCGATGGTTCTGCATGGGCGACATCTTCAAGTACTTCGGGTGCTGCTGACGTCAACAGTTGCATTGTCAATTAGTAGGCTAGTAGTAGCTGTGTAGGGAGTAGACTGGGCGCCGAGTGCCAGGTAGGAAGATAGAGACTGGATACATATGTTGTTGGTGGCGAGAGCAAGCTCTCATTGACATTGACTTTCAGTGCTACGATTCTCCATTGGTGTTATATTGGTGCAATGCTGCTTCCTGAACACTGTGTTACGATTTGCCTTTCAATGTGATTGTGCAATCTGAATATTGTCATCTCGCTTCTGTTCATTTTCCTTGCACATGGACCGTGAGGAAGGGGAGGACACGAGGAAAGGGAGGACATGAGGAAGGGGAGGACACGAGGAATGGAAGGAGATGAGGAAGGGAAGGAGACGAGGAAGTACAAGGAGGAGGAGGAAGGGCAGGAGGAGGACGAGGAGTTGTAGGAGACGAAAAGGAGAAGGGAGAAGCAGACAAGGCGGACGAGGAAGGAGAGGAGGGAGGTGAGGCAGCATTGCTGCAAAAAAAAATAAATTATCCCGCTTAGAATTTTGGCGGGGGCCCTCAAATGCACAGTTTCGACCCCCCGCCTTCTTTTTTTTTCGGAGGGGGGTGATGGGCCTTTCCCCACAGACGTCGTGCGCTGCACGGGATCGGTTGGGCGCATGCGCCGCAAGTCGGGAACCTCACACACGGCATGCGCTTGCGAATGTGAAACACGCTGATCCACAAACTTAATGCCAGGCAAAAAACTTTCCCAGTGGACATGCTATGTGGACACCTTGTTGCAGGAAGGAAACTAGTGAACCACGCCGGGACACACAATCCAGAGGTACCAAGCAAGTGAAGTGGCAAACAGATGGAGCATAGAATCATTGCCATCAAATTGCTGTTGACTGAATGGCATTGACATCAAATTGTTGTTGACTGAATGGCTGCAACATCTCAATTGCCCCTGTCCACCATATACAGCTTTGACATGCACGATACAAGGTCAATCACACCACTCTGCTGAAGGTGGCTGCTTTCGAACTACACCTATCTACATCAGCGGTTGTTCTCTGGAAACAGCTTTAAACCACCAGTACTTGGCCCAGCTATCAAGTCTGAGCCTTGGCCGACCGGTATGCCGAGCCTTGCCGAGGCTCGAACTACTGGGCACCAACTTCCCAAACGTGCCTGGAGAAAAACACGAAAAAAAAGACAGAAAAAAAGAACACAAAAAATGCAAAAAGAAACGACAGAAAACCGGCATTAAATCTACTGTTAAAAAAAAATGGGTAAAAAAAAACCGGTTACCACCTCGACATGCACAAAAGACTAATCATGGCGGTGTATCCTTCCATGTTCTAGTGAAAGATTCACTATCGTTTTGCACATTTCGAGAGTGGTGAAGCGACACACACACACACACACACACACACACACACACACACACACACACAGAGAGAGAGAGAGAGAGAGAGAGAGAGAGAGAGAGAGA